CCACTGAGCCAAGCCAGTTAGGGCCTCACCCCACATTTCTGAATGCCCCCTCTGTGCTCAGAGCTAAGGATAAACTCAAACCTAGGTCAGGGTGATGAAGAAGGTGCCCCCACATCTTCCTGGAGACTGGAATCGGTCAGGAAAAGGGGGAGACTGGGAGACACAGATTCCCTGGACTTCCTACCTCCCATCCTGCAACTCCCTCCCCATTTAGAGGAACTTTGGAATGTCAAGCTAGTTTAATATCTTCATGGGATGAAGACAAAACACCTACCCAGCACAGTTCCACACTTCTCAGTATAGTTGACTGATAAAATTTTCTGGGAGACATCTCCCCTTTATCTCTTTCATAGGTCCACCTCTTCTACTGTATCCACCAATCTCCTCTTAACCTCTGGGGTCTTTGTTCCTCCTCCCCATCCCACATGGATTCATGGCTATTGGGCTCTACTCCATCCTTCTGACTTTAACTCTCCCTGAGATGTCACACTCCTCCCAGACCTACACCCTCACTCAGGATCACATCATGCTCTTCTCTAGCTTAAACCATCCCAACCTGCCCACAATATAACCAGCCTGCTTCAGGGGAGATCCCTGAGGATACCCTCTCAACGTGAATTTTTACAAAGTGAACATACCCACATACTCAGCACTCAAAATACAGGTCATTACCAGAATCCCAGGTGTGCCTCCCACCAGACACTACCTGCCACTGACAAGAGTCCCAACTATCTTGGCTTCTATCCCATAGATTGGTTTTGCCTAATTGGCACTTTATATAAATGGACTCATACAGTGTGGCCACCGGTGTCTGGCTTCTTGAGCTCAACATTATGTGTGTGAGGTTCATCCATATTATTGCATGTATTTGTAGTTTATTATTTCTTATGCATTCCATTGTGTGAATATACCACAATTTATTTAAGCATTCGACTGTTGATGGACATTTGGATAGTTTCCAAATTGGGTTTATTACAAATAAGGCTACCATAAAGATACCTGAAAATGTCTTTAGGTGAATAAATGTTTGCATTTCTGTTGGATGTGTACCTAGAAGTAAAACTGCTGGTTCTTAAGTGTGCAAATATTCAGTGCAACTAGATATTATCAAAGTTTTCTGAAGCTCTTATACTAAGTCCATGTCCATTAGCAAAGTATTAGAGTTCTAGTTGCTCCATACCCTATTGGGCTTAAGAAGATCCCTGTGGCCCTGGCTGGTGTGGCTCAATTGGTTGGGTGTCCTCCAGTGCACCAGGAGGTTGACGGTTCAATTTCCCCATCAAGGGCATATGCCTGGGTTTTGGGCTCGATCTCCACTAGGGGCCATGCAGGAGGCAGCCAATCGATGTTGCATTTTCAGATCCATGTTTCTCTCTCTCCCTTTCCTTTCTGCACACTCCACTCTCTCGCTAAAAAAGTTTTTTTAAATCAGTAAACTATTATTTTTTTATTTTTAAATAAACTATTCTTTTAAAGAAAATCCCTCGTGCAGCTATGTGGAGAATGGAGAGTGGGAAGTCAATAGTGGATGCAGAAAGATCAGATGGAGGGATGAAGGTCACTGCAGTTGCCCAGGAGAGATGATAGTGGCTTGAACTAGGCCAGTGGCCATGAGATGGAGAAAAGTAAGCAGATTAGAGCTATACACTCAATGTTTCCTCCTGTGTTTACAATTACTCATCTCTTTTCATTAAGATGAGTAGATAGAGAGACAGGGAAACTCAGATAACAAAAGAAACACTTTGACTGAAAAAGTAAGAATATCAAATAGATAGGTCATTCCAAATTGGTAGACCCAAAAGGCAATTCTAGGTGTCTGGATCCAGGAGCTTCCCAGTAAGTGACCTAACCAGAGAGGCTAAGCCAGAGGGTCAAAACTGACCCTAGAGCCCTGGCCAGTGTTTCTCAGTGGTTAGAGATGAACCAATTCCTGGAGTGTGCAGTGCATTGGGGTTAGCATTAAACTCAGGCCTCCTAACTGCCATTCAGTTGGGCACTGAACATGTCTCAAGATTTATTGAGACTATATTATTAGGCCCTACCCTCCTGGAGGCTACAATCTGGACAGAAATAAGTAGTCACATAAATTATGATAAATTAGAATGGAACCTGAGAGTGCTCCGGGAGAAGTACAGATAAGGTCTTCCTACAGTCCAAAGGGCTGAGGACATCACAGGCAGGTTCCAGGAGGAGGTTAGCACCGATGAGCTAAGGCCTGGAGGATCTGGAGGGACTGGCTGTCACACGCACTTTTGTTCCATAGGTGCTGTGTCCGGGAATTGCAGCCGTCCGGGCAGGGGGCAAGGGCTGTTGCGGTGCAGGCTGCTGTGGGAATCGCTGCAGGGTAAGATCCAAATTCAGAGGGGATCCAGGATCGGTCTTTGAACCGGTCTCGGAAGAACCAACCTAAAGCCACGCCCCCTCTTCCTAGCAACACCAGCTGCTCTGCAGTCTCAGGATCCACCTCTCCCCCGCCCGACCCCTACCCCTACCCCTACCCCTACCCCATTACCCCCTCCCAATCTTAGGCCTCAATGGGCCTGATTAGAGGGGACTACAACCCCCATGAACCTCTGCAGCCGCTGGCTTTTAGGGTTAACCTAACTCCTAGCAATGGGGTTTGAAGGAAAATGTATAGGGAGAGGGGGTAGGAGCTAGGCGGGGCCGACTCACCTTTCCTTCCTCTCCACGTCCAGATGCTGCGCTCGGTCTTCTGCTCGGCGTTAGGGATGATTGGAGCTATCTATTGCGTCTCAGTATCCGGGACCGGGCTCCGAGATGGACCCATATGCTCTAAGAACGGCTCTTGGGTCTCCCCTTTCAAAGAGACCGAGTAAGGCTTAGCCGGTTTTCGCGCCCTCACTACCCCATTCTGTGCCTCTCCCCACGTGGGCCGGACCTGCCTTTGAGCGCTTCCCCCACGTGGGCCTCATGCGCCCTCTGCAAGTCCCCCGTGGCGCGTGCTCAGGACGGGGAACCGGGAGGGGGGCCTCCGCGGCGACCTCCGTCTCTCACGTGACCTTTTCGGATCCACAGAGGCTCTTACTTGCTCAACCGCACCCTGTGGGATCTGTGCGAGGAGCCACCTAATGTGGTCACCTGGCACGTGACGCTCTTCTCGCTGCTGCTGGCCGCCTCGTGCCTGGAGCTGGTGCTGTGCGGGGTGCAGGTGGTGAACGCGGCCATGGGTGTCCTCTGCGGCGACTGCAGGAAGAAGGTGGGACCGCGCGCCCAGGAGCTTTGGAGGGAACCTGCTTGCTCCCTGGCTGCGTTCTCACGGTCTCTTTTCCGCAGGGCGCCCCTGAATGAGGCTCCACTGACCACCCTGCTCGCCGCTGGACGCCCACCCGACCCACCCCCGCCCTGAAATAAACCGTTTTGAGCTCTCTTGTGCATCTCAGATCGTGCCCTATGTGAGGAGTGTCCAAGGCGGGGCTTGTGGCTCCCCTGTGTGGGGCCCCTGCACCGCGCTTATTTTCTTAGCAAATAGTTATTTTTTAAGCCTGAGTTTAAATTTTTTATTTATCATTTTTCATTGATTTGAGAGAGGGGGAAGGGAAGAGAAAGAGAAACATGGGTGCCAGAGAGAAACATCGATTGGTTGCCTCACCCACGCACCCCAGCCAGGATCCATCGGCAGTCTGGGTCCCAACCGGGAAGGAACCACCTCTTAGTGCACCTACCAGGCTCCCACCAGCTGAGCCAGGAGGGCCAGGGCAGCAAATAGTTATTGAGCTATTAGTGTGCACCGGAAATACCGAAGTTAACAAGACAGACAAGTTCTGGGCTCTCAACTTAACATTCCAGGATGTGAGGGCGATCTGGCTGCGACATTTGTTACCCCATTGATCGCCAGGGTTGATTCGGCTGATCTGGCTGGCTGGGCGGGTGTCCCCCTCCTCCCTCACCAATCCATGTGCGTCCTCCCAGAGGAGAGGACCGGTCTTCGGTAAGGGTATACGAGTAGCTGCGCTCCCCTGCTAGAACCTCCAAGCAAGCTCTCAATTTAATATTCCAGGGTGGAAAATTGGCAATTTTTAAAAGATCAGCTGATGATAAGCACTTTTACAAAGCTCGTTGAGACCTGGCCAGTGTGGCTCAGTTGGTTGGAACGTAGTCCTGTACACCCAAAGGTTGCCTGCTCTTTGGATTCTGGGTCAGGGCACATACCTACCTAGGTTACAGGCTCAATCCTGGTGGGGACTCATACTAGAGGCAGGTAACCAACTCTCTCTCTCCCCCCTACCATTTCAAAGAGACCGAGTAAGGCTTAGCCGGTATTTTCGCCTTCACTACCCCATTCTGTGCCTCTCCCCATGTAGGTCAGACCTGCCTTTGAGAGTGCTACGTCCACATGGGCCTAATGAGCCCTTTGCAAGTCCCCCTTGGCACATGCTCAGGACGGGGAACCCTTTCTCTAAAATCAGTAAAACATATCCTCAGGTGAAGATTAAAAAATAACAACACGTTGATAATGGGATAGATATAAACCCTGAGGAAGTGAAATTAGAGCTGAAGTCTGCTTGTGAGCTAACCACCTGGGTGCTGAGGGATTCCAGGCAGAGAGAACATCAAGGGCAAAGATCCAAAATGGGAATCAGTATACAGAAAAGCCACCCTTGGGGTTGTGTAGAGGGGAGGGGGGTGGGGAGGGGACAACTATGGAAGAGACACATTAACCAATTAAGCTATAGAAAATGAAGCCTGAAGGTGTGGTAACATGTCGCCTCCTAATTTGGTAGAAGTTTCTTAATCTGAGGTCACTGGTGGCTCAGAAAATAAATATCCTGGGCACTTAATGGGCATGATGTGTATGCAGACGCCCCCAGAGAGCCAGGGACTTCCTTCACTTGTATGCAAATGGAAGTGACTAAAGGTCCATAACTTTGGGTAGCCTGTCATGGACTCCTAAGCCAAACCTGAATTTCAGCCTGGCCCAGTGCTAGGCTAGGAGACAGGGAGATGCAGTTTTCTATGCCTAAAACAAATGACACCAAAGCCATGACGGGGAAGCTTTAATTCGGGAGGTGGGACAGCCGGAGGTGGGGCCGGGAGCCGACCGCAAAGGGATCAGCTGCTGCAGCAGAAAAAACGCACGTCGTTCATCGCGGTGTCGTCGGGGAGGCCTCTAGGCCGCTGGATCTTGGTCTGCAAACCACATATGCCTTTAGGACACGGCTCGCTCCAGCTTCCAAAGTCTCCCCAGGCCAGGCCAGGCCCCTCCAGCTCCTTGCCGTCGGAGCAGCGGAAGCGCACGTTGTTGGCGCCCGTGTTGTCCCCAAGGGTCTTGGGTGCCTCCACTCGGAGTGAGAAAGCCACGAGGAAGCTGCCATGGGGACACCACAGCGGCTCGCTCCATGCGCCCCACCTGCGAGGGAAGGGAAGACTCATGGCTGTGGGGCGCCCCCGACTCACCTCCAGCCCGACCCAGGTCTGGGGACTTCCCAAGCCAGGGGCTCCTTGGCCTCAAGGGTCGGGTCTAATCACCTGACATCCAGCACGGTGCGCAGGGGTGGTCTACAACCTACTCCCCAGGTCTAAGGTGTGGCAGCTAGAGTTACCTGCCGGCTGGGAGGGGGTGGTGTAACAGGATAAGGCGCATACCCCACCCTAGGGGATCATTGGCCCCTGCCCCTCACCTTCCGGACTCGGACTCCACTTTGTGCCCACGGGAGCAGTGCAGCCGAATCCCATTCATTGCCGTGTCGTCTCCAGGAATGCCTTGCGGGGGCTCCACCTGGCGCCGAGAGGAGGGGGAAAGATGAGTCAGACTACCAGTCACTATTTTATTTTTTTTACAAATAAGCGTTGAATGCATTCTTTTTAATTTTTATTACTAGAATTGGTTGGTATCTTTTATTTAAAAAAACATATTTTTATTGATTTCAGAGAGGGAGGGGGAGAGAGAGAGACAAACATCAATGATGAAAGAGAGCCTTAGCCAGTTTGGCTCAGTGGATAGAGCGTCAGCCTGGGGACTGAAGGATCCCAGGTTCGATTCTGGTCAAGGGCACATGCCTGGGTTTCGGGCTTGATCCCCAGTGGGTGGTGTGCAGGAGGCAGCCAATCAATGATTCTCTTTCATCATTGATGTTTCTATCTCTCTCTACCTCTTCCTTCCTCTCTGAAATCAATAAATATATATTTTTTAAATGATGAAAGAGAATTATTGATTGGCTGCCTCCTACACACCCCTCTCGCAACCAGCATGTGCCCTTGCTTGGAATCTAACCTGCACCCTTAAGTCCACAGGCAAAGTTCTATCCACTGAGCCAAGCCTTTGAGACCTAGATCTGAGCCCTCACCTTGATGGAGAATCCGATGGTGAAAAATCCATCAGGACAAGTCTCGGGCCAGGCCCAGTCGCCCCAGGGGCCCCCGTTGGTCACCTCGATCACTTGGGTGTAGCTTCTGGAACCAACCGCTCTGGTGTGCCCGCAGCACATCGCCCACAGCAGCAGCAGCTTGGCTCCCACTGGCTCCATTCTGCAGCCTCTGTGAGCCAGGGCCCCTTAAGCAGGTTTATACCACCTCTGCCCCATGAGGGCTCCGATTGCGGAAGGGCCACTCGGATTAAGTGACACCAAAAACTAATCTGCTCCCGGAACCCTGCAGACCTGATCTGCTGCTCAGGGAGACCTATGCTCCCAGCACCAGAGGAGGAGGGGCATCAGGAGCAGACAAGTTGAAATCACCACCATCGCCTGAACTTTTACTACAGGCCACAAACTGTGGTTAGCGTCTTGCAGGCATGTTCTATTTAACCCTCACAATTTTAGAAGGTGGGAATTACCCTTCCTATTATGTAGATTAGGGAACTGGGGCTTAGAAATGGCAAGCAACTTGCCTAAGGTCACTGTCAGCCAAGCTGAGAAACACTTTAACACTGGGAAATGGGAAGCTAGGGATGGAAGTGAAGGCTCCTGAATCCCACAGAAAGGGATGGGATTGGTCAGTAGCAAACTCAGGGACCTCCCAGAGTCAAGGGAGCATCAGAGTGAGAGACAGGGCAAGAATCCATGAACTGTGGGAGCTAGGAAGAGTCTTCGTATAGATTGGGGTCCTGACTCCTTGATAATCTGGGGTATTCTCCCTCACCTCACCCCAAGAAGAAAATATACACAGAGACAGGGACAATTCTAAGAAGTTTACGGACTGGGGGCTAAGAACAGGAGATAATAGTTTCTTTGATTGCATCCTGTATCCTTTCTCTGAAAGCACCCCTTCCATGGCCACTAGGTGGACTCCTAATTTGCAAAAATCAAAACTATGCCCCAAAAAAGTGCAAATTTGTCATCTGGGGCACTACCCTTGTTTGCCCACCCCTAATACACATTTCTTTGTTTATTAACATACTAGAAGCCCAGTGCACGAAATTCATGCACTGGCAGGGTCCCTAGTGGCTGCGGAGTTGGGGGGTCTCCCTCCCTTCCCCTGGCTGGCCCTGCCCCTTGGCCGAACTCCCTATGAACTCCCTGTTGAGGGGACAATTTGCATGCTACACTTTTATTATATAGAATACGTATTTTGCAATAATGTACTTTGGCCCAGGTAATATTCTAAATTCTGTAAATAGAGTTACAACCAAGAAAAACAAGATTCATCAGAGCTCACATTCCAGTGGGGTAAACAAATTATTAAGTCTCTAATGGACCTTGAGCTCTATGAAGGCTCAGATTATTTGTCTCCTTGAGGCCTAATCAGGGCTTGGCATGTGGAAGTACTTAATAAAGATTTGTTTGATAAATAATAGAGGAGCCAACCTGGAGTTGGGACAAGGACTGGGCAGGAGCTGGTGAGGGCATGGTGGATCAAGCCTGAAGTATACAATCAGGAGTTGATGTATTTAGATCAAGACAAGGTCCCGTGGGGATAGGCTAGAGAATTTAGACGTGGGTGCTCCCTGGATCCCAGGTGCCCGGTGCTTGAACTTTATAGGTAAGATTTATGGAGCAATTGTGGTAAGCTTTTCCATTTATAGTGTTTACACGTACATTATCATTTAATCCTGGCCAAGTACCTATTATTATCCTCAATTTACACTGGAAGGAACTCTAGCCCAGAGTCTGTTATCTTAGGACCCACATCATTGCTCAGTGTGGGAGCTGGTACTGACCCCAGCCTCCCTTCCCGATACCCAGGCTGCTTCTTCCTACAACCTGATCCTATAAGGAAGGGAAATACAGAGACGTGTCATTGCCACCGAACTTCCCAAATCCTCTTAATCTGGTTTCTCACCCCTGAGGTGCTGCCCTCTGGGGCAAAGGACACAGGGTAAGGGGCCTTAGATTAATGATTAACCCTTGCACTTCAGTGCACTGCGGCCTTCTCTTCCTTCTGGGAGGCGGAGGGATAAGGCCTGGGTAGGAGCTGGTGAGGGGTGGTGGTCCCAGCAGCGCCCATGGGGGTCGTGCTGCTTCCACAGGTCTCCAGGCGCTGGCTCCGCCATCCAATTCCTCTTGCCATTTTCGCGCTGCTACTTTTTTATCTCTGTACTCGGAGCCTACGTGAGTGGCCTCTTCCCCCACCTTCTCTGGCAGGAACCCAGGAATCCAGGTCCTGGGGAACTAAGGCCCCTCTTCGAGTCCTCACCGCCCCGCCTTGTTTCTCCCCAGGCGCCCTCTCGGGCTGCGGATCGGGGGCCCAGCCCTGCGTTAAGGAGGGACCTCAGCCTTCACAGGTATGCTGGGGGCAGGGCTGGGGCCGGGAGCTCCAAGCAGGACCCTCAACAGGGGGAAGGTGGAGCCAGGCTGACTGACTCCCTGCTGAGGAGCAGAGCGGGTCCTCCTTCCTGTCCCCCCACCCTAGACAGAAGCCGAGAGCACAGCAGGAGGGACACCAGCTAGACCTTAGGTTGGCGAAGGAGGCCTAACAGGCTAGGGGTTCTGCTCCCCCAGATCCGGCAACAGTTGGGATCCCTGGAGGCCCCGGAGCGGGAAGAGCCTCGGTGTCTGGGCCCCGAGGGGATGCTGGGCCGCTTGGTGAGGCCGTTCCGCGCTAGTCTGAACCTGGACGGGGATGTGGAACTGTCGCAGTACCTGGCGGGATGGAGGGAGCTCATCAAGTGAGTGGTCTCCCTCCCCTCATCCTTCCCCGCCTCCATGGCTCCATCGCCCTCTCTCTAACCAGCCCACTCTTCCCACCACCGAACACACAGATTCCTAACTCCCTTCGGCTCCATCTTCACCTTCGCCACCAGCGAAGCCTTCACCAAAGTGACAGCCCTCGAGGCTCGGGTGCACGGCCCAGAGGCCGCGCACTACACATCGCTGGCGACCATGGCCGCGTGGGAGCGGCGGGCGGGACTGCTGGAGAGGCCTGGGGTCGCCCCTCCGGACTCGGCCAAGGCCTCGGGCTCACGGACGACTCTCCTGCTGCACCGGGCGCTACGCTGGTCCCAGCTCTGCCTGCAGCGGGTGGCCACCGGGGCGCACCGAGGCCCGAGCGCCGGCGAGCAGTGCAGCGACGCCTACAGCACCGTCCTGGGCCCGCACCACCCCTGGCTGGTTCGGCAGGCCGCCCGCCTCGCGTTCCTCTCCTTCCCGGGTCGCGGCCGCCTGCTGGACCTGGCCTGTCCGCGGACCAGAGAGGCGGAGGCGCGGGCCGCGTTGGCTCGCGCGGCGGGCACCCTGGAGGAAGTCTACAACCGGACGCAGGGTTTGCTGGCCGAGCGCGGCCTGCTCCAGCTGGCCTAGGGGACCCGCCGGGGAGGGAGCGCCCCGGGGCGGGACCCGCGCAGCTCTGGGCTCAGGGTCCAGGCCCCCGGAGCCCGGCTACCGAGGGGCGGGGCGCCGGATATCCCGCCTCTTCGGTGACGTCATTCCCTGCAGGCGCGCCCCGGGTAGGGTGGGATTTTTTTTTCTCCTCCCTCTACCCGAAGTCCCGGGAAGAAGGGAGAAGCTAGAGGGAATAAAAGGTATTTTTTGGTAGCCGTCGATTTAGGGCGTTTTTTTGTGTGAGGCCAGCGGGCACTTTAAGGGGAAACAGAAAACAGTGGGTGTGGGAAGATGTGTCATCCCTGTTCCCGGCAGCGGAGAGACTCACGCTCCCCGTGGCTATCTCAGCCACGCCTATGGCTGCCCTTGGCCAACCACAGGCCAAGCCTCCAGCCCGGACCTGTCTCCTGAGCTACCTCCACGGACCCCGCAAAGGCAACACGTCCGGCTGGGATCCAATCGCCTCCTCCCAGTACTGCACCTCTTGTGTTCCTTGTCTCTGTGAATAAATGGCACCCTTTTCTGTCAGCCACCCAAGCCTAAAACCTGTGCATTATGCCTCACACCAGAGAGGCATTTAATCTTTACTAAATGACTTTGGCTGCTCCCACAACGAGAGTGAACACGAAAGAGCTTAGCATTTCATACACTGATAACTCCCAAATTACAACTCCAACCCAGTTTGCCCTGATTCCAGAATCCAGGCGACACACCTCCTCATTCGACATCTCCATTTGGATTTCAACTAGACATAGCAAAGTTAAATGCCTAAAACTATGCTTCTAATTCCCTCTCCTCCAAAGTACCCTCTTTATAGCCTTTGCTATCTCAGTAAGTGACAATTCCATTCTTCCAGGTCCTTAGACCAAAAACCTTGTAGTCATCCTGACACTTCTGTTTCTCGTTCGTTGTACCCACATTCAATTTGTCAGAACCTGACTACTTCCCACTATCTCCACTGCTACCACACTTGTAAAGTCAATTTTATTACCTATATTGTTGCAATAGTCTAATTGTCTCTCTGTTCCATACTTTACGTCCCTATAATGTATGTTCAATAGAGCAGCCAAAACGATTATTTAAAATGTAGTTCACATCATGTCACGTCCCTGCTCAAAACCTTCCAATGGCTTCCTATTACATTCTGATTTTTAAAATTAATGTAGCCTTAGTTGGTTTGGCTCAGTGGATACAGTGTCAGCCTGCGGACTGAAGGGTCCCAGATTCGATTCAGGTCAAGAGCACATGCCCAGGTTGCCTGCTCGACCTCCAGTAGAGGGCGTGCAAGAGGCAGCTGATCAATGAATGATTCTCATTATTGATGTTTCTTTCTCTCCCTCTCCCTTCCTCTCTGAAATCAATAAAAATATTTTTTTTAAAAATTAATCAGGACATTTTCTGTATCATATTTTCAGTTAAGAATGTTGAAAAGCTTTGTAAAGATCCTACCTGATCTGACTCTGCATTAGCCAAATTGACCTCCTCAATATTCACTGGACATGTCAGATTGATCTTGCCTCAGAACCTTTGCACTTTCTCTCCCCTCTGTCCATACCGTTTTTCCCCCAAATAGACAAATGTCTTCCCTCCTTACTTCCTTCTGGTCTTTATTCAAATGTCTCCTCAGTGAGATCTTTCCTGATTATTCTAAAATGTGAACACACACACACACACACACACTTCCTAACTTCTTTCCTTGCTTTATTTTTCTTCTTATTCAATTCACTCTCTAACATACTGTATATTGGGATTCTTTATTTTTTGTTGTCTCACCCAACATATATATAAGCTCCATGGTGAGAGACCAGTCGGGAGCCAAAAACCAGGATTATAGGCTTTATTAAGGGAAAGAGACCTGCCGGGCTGTCTCGCAGTGGGAGAACAGCAGCACGTGCAGAGGTGAGCATGCCTTTTGAGGGAAGGAATGGGGGCTTAGTGTACTCGGCGTGCGCTGATTGGTGGCTTAATGTATGGTCCATATAGGAACAAGGGCTTAGGGCAGTGATGGCGAACCTATGACACCTCTGACACGCGAACTCATTTTTTTTATTTTTCTTTGTTAAATGGCATTTAAATATATAAAATAAATATCAAAAATATAAGCCTTTGTTTTACTATGGTTGCAAATATAAAAAAACTTCTATATGTGACACGACACCAGAGTTAAGTTAGGGTTTTTCAAAACGCTGACACGTCAAGCTCAAAAGGTTCGCCATCACTGGCTTAGGGTATTTAGCAGGTATTGATCGGTGGTTCAATGTATTGTCCATATAAGGTACATGATTAGTCACTCAGGTATTTCCGGGCTGCAGGTTACATCATACTCCGCCCACCAGTTGGGGGAAGGGAGGATGTATCACATGGGGCTAGAAATTTCTGTCCATTTTGTTCCCTGATGTACCTTCAGTGCCTCACACAGTGCCTGGTACCTGGTAAACACAATGGTTTGTTGAATGAATGTATGAGCACAAAAAATAGTTCAGATGGCTGGAGCCAAGAGAGTCAAAAAGAAAAGAAGGGGGTTGCATAACAATGTAAATGTACTTGGTGTTACTAGATTGTACACCAAAAATGGCTAAAATGCTACATTTTATGTTGTTTATATTTTACTACAATAAAAAAATGTAAAAGAAGCCTGGCTGGTGTGGCTCAGTGGTTGAGTGTTGACCTATGAACCAGGAGATCACAGTTCAATTCTGGTAGGGACACATGCCAGGATTGCCGGCTTTGATCCCAGTCTGGGGCGTGCAGGAGGCAGCCAATCAACGATTCTCTCTCATCACTGATGTTTCTATCTCTCCCTCTCCCTTCCTCTCTCTGAAATCCATAAAAACATATTTTAAAAAGTATATAAAAGCCCTAACCTGTTTGGCTCAGTGGATAGAGTGTCGGCCTGCGGACTTAAAGGTCCCAGGTTCGATTCCGGTCAAGGGCATGTACCTTGGTTGCAGGCACATCCCCAGTGGGGGGGTGTGCAGGAGGCAGCTGATTGATGTTTCCCTCTCATCAATGTTTCTAACTCTCTATCCCTCTCCCTTCCTCTCTGTAAAAAAAATCAATAAAATATATATATATATTTTTTAAATTTTCACAAACTTTGTTTTTATTTTTTTTTAATTTATTGCTTAAAGTATTACAAAGGGTATTACATATGTGTCCATTTTATCCCCCCGCCCTAGACAGTCCCCTAGCCTCCCCTATCCCCCAATGTCTTATGTCCACTGGTTATACTTATATGCATGCATACAAGTCCTTTAGTTGATCTCTTACCCCCCTACCTCCCGCCCCCCAACCCTCCCCGGCCTTCCTGCTGCAGTTTGACAATCTGTTTGAGGCAGCTCTGCCTCTGTATCTATTATTGTTCAAAAGTTTATAATGGTCTCTATTATCCATGAATGAGTGAGATCATGTGGTATTTTTCCTTCATTGACTGGCTTATTTCACTTAGCATAATGCTCTCCAGTTCCATCCATGACGTTGCAAATGGTAAGAGTTCCTTCCTTTTTAGAGCAGCATAGTATTCCATCGTGTAGATGTACCACAGTTTTCTAATCCATTCATCTACTGATGGGCACTTAGGCTGTTTCCAGATCTTAGCTATGGTGAATTGTGCTGCTATGAACATAGGGGTGCATATATCCTTTCTGATTGGTGTTTCTGGTTTCTTGGGATATATTCCTAGAAGTGGGATCACAGGGTCCAATGAATGCATAGATAAGTAGAACAAAGTGGTCATCTCCCTCTCCCTCCCGTCCTTCCACTCTCTTTCCCTTCCTCTCTCTCTCTCAAATCGATAAATAAAAATTAAAAGAAAAAAAAAGTTATTTGAAAAGATCAAGAAAATTAACAAAACTTTAGGTAGACTAACCAATAAAAAAATGTGGGAAGACAAATGATTAAAATCAATAATGAAAGGGGACATTACTACAAATCTTAACAGAAATAAATGGGATTATAAGGGAATACTATAAACCACTGTAGACTAACAAATTAGGTAACCTAACAGAAATGGACACATTCATAGAAAGACATAAAATACCAAAATGGACTCAAAGGTAAAAAGAGCCCTAGCCAGTTTGACTCAGTGGGTAGGGTGTCGGCCTATCGACTGAAGGGTCCCAGGTTCTATTCTGGTCAAGGGCACATGCCTGGGTTGTGGGCTTGATCCCCAGTGGGGAGCGTGCAGGAGGCAGCTGATCAATGATTCTCTCCCATAATTGATATTTCTATCTCTCCCTCTTCCTTCCTATCTGAAATCAATTTAAAAAATTTAAAATAAAGAGAATACATTTTTTTTAAAGAAAAGTAAATAGAGCCAAAACCAGTTTGGCTCAGTGCATAGAGCGTCGGCCTGCGGACTGAAAGGTCCCAGGTTCGATTCCGGTCAAGGGCATGTACCTGGGTTGCGGGCACATCCCCAGTGGGGAGTGTGCAGGAGGCAGCTGATCGATGTTTCTCTCTCATCGATGTTTCTAACTCTCTATCTCTCTCCCTTCCTCTCTGTAAAAATCAATAAAATATATTTAAAAAAAAAACAAATACAGATCAACAAACATCCAAAAAAAAAAAAAGTAAATAGAAACTCTGACTAGTCCTATAATGAAGAGACTGAGTTAGTAATAAAAACTTCCCACAAAGAAAAGCCCAGCACCAGACATTTTCACTGATAAACTCTACTGAATGTTTAAAAAAAAAAATTAATGGCAATCCTTCTCAAACTCTTACAAAAATAGAAGAGGAGGGAAATCTTCCCTACTTATTCTAAGAGGCCTATATTACCCTGATGCCAAAGATATATATATAAAAAAGCAATTACAGACCAATATATTGATATATTGTATGAGTAGAGATGTAAAAAATCTTCAACAAAATACTAGCAAACTATATATAAAAAGTATAAGCCCTGGCCAATGTTGTTCAGTGGTTAGAGCACTGGCCATGCACTGATGGGTCATGGGTTTGATTCCCAGTCAAGGGCACGTACCTGGGTTGCAAGTTTGTGCGATCCCCGCCCTGGTTGGGGTGCTGTGGGAGGTAAGCAATCTATGTGTCTCTTTCACATCAATGTTTCTCTCTCTCCCCCCTCCTACTCCATCTACCTCCCTCCTCCCCTCTCTCCCTCCCTCCTATTCTCTAAAAATCAATGGAAAAAATATCCTCAGGTGAGGATTAACAAAAAAAGTATTACACCCATGGTCAAATGATTTTCAACAAAGGTGTCAAGACCATTCAAAGGGGACAGAATAGTCTTTTCAACAAATGGTGCTGGAACAAATGAATATCCACGTACAAAAGAATGAATATTGGATCTTAGCCGGTTTGGCTCAATGGATAGAACATCGGCCTGCAGACTGAAGGGTCCCAGTTTCGATTCTGGTCAAGGGTACATGCCCGGGTTGCATTACGGGGCTCCATCCCAGTTGGGGGCGTGTAGGAGGCAGCGGATCAATGATTATCTCTCATCATTGATGTTTCTATCGCTCTCTCCCTCTCCCTTCCTCTTTGAAATCAATGTTTTATATATATATATAGAGAGAGAGAGAGAGAGAGAGAGAGAGAGAGCCCCTACATATTAAATACAAAAATTAACTCAAAATTAATCATAGACCTAAAAACATAAGAATTAAAATTATAACACTGTTAGGTGAAAACATAGCGGTAAATCTTTGTAGCCTTGGGTTAGGCAACAGTTTCTCAGATATCAAAAGCATAAGCAACTAAAGGAAAAACACAAAATTGGACTTCACCAAAACTTAAAATTTTGTGCTTCAAATGATACCAATGAAAAAAGTGAAAAGATAATCCATAGAACGGGAGGAAATATTTGCAGATCATGTATCTGATACAGGTCTAGTATCTACAATACCAAAAACACTCTTACAAACTTAACAAAAGATAACCCAATTGTAAAATGGGCAAAGGACTTCTTCAATAGACATTCCTCCAAAGAAGATAAACAAACGGACAATTAGCATATGAAAATAGGCTCACCATCACTAATCATTAGGGAAGTACAAAAACAACAACAACAACCCACAAGATACCAATTCACACCATCTAGGATGGCTAAAGTAAAAACACGCAACAACAATCAGTGCCGATGTAGAGAAACTGGAATCCTGTTACGTGGCTGGTGGGGATGCCAACTGGGATAGCTATTGTGAAAAACAGTTGTCCGTTCCTCAGAATGTTGAACAGTTAGTTTATGACCCAGCAATTCCACGCCTGGCACTGTATATACTACCAGGTATATACATACCTAAGAGAAATGAAGACATAGTGTGCTCTCTGTAAGTCAGAGGCTCAAGTCTGTCTTGAAGACTTTTTTTTTTTTTTACTTTTTTAGAATATATTTTTATTTATTTCAGAAAGGAAGGGAGAGGGAGGGATAGAGAGACATCAATGATGAGAGAGAGAGTCACTGATCGGCTGCCTCCTGCACTAGGGATCAGGCCTGCAACCTGGGCACGTGCCCTGGGCACGTGCCCTTGGCCCGAATCGAACCTGGGACCCTTCAGTCCGCTCTATCCCCAGCCAAACCGGCCAGGGCTCCCTGAGCTTTCTTGTCAGTGTCTGTGAGGCTGTTCAGGATATGATCAAAAGCCCAAAACGCTTTCTGCAAGTACATGTCTGTTGTGTGACCTGCACTGCAGTCCAGTGGCACTTGCCCCGTGTCGCTAATGGGCACCTGGAACGTGGTTGCGGCGAGTGAAAACGGAACTTAAAATTACACTTAAGTTCAACCCTATGTGGCAAGTGGTTACCACGGGACAGTGCAGGTCCAGTGTCCAGCACGCTGGGACCTGGCAGGGAGCAGGCAATGTCTGAAACTTCTATAACCTTGCTCCGGACGCAGCAGGGCAAGGCCTCAAACCGTTCCCACAATGTTCTCGCAAGCACGGCAGGAATGCACTTGAAGGTTTTTTGATTTGTAATCCCAATCAGATATATCAGTACTGCACAATCCAATCGGAAGCACAGCCCTTGCCGACTGGGTTGTGGTTTTTTGTTGTTGTTGTTGTTTTGGGGGGTGGTGGTATTTTTGTTTGCTTACTTGCCTGCCACGCTGCCGTCAAGCATTCACTGTCGCAAAAGAAACGTCCTTCCACATTTCTTTTCCCTTCTGCCGTCAACCGCGGCCCAGCTTCGCTCCCAGAAGGCCTCGGAGCACGACTAAAGGGAGTGACAGAGCGCTTTACGACAGTTGCTTTGTGGCAGCACCAGAGGAGAAAGATGGCGGCCACCTTAGTAGCTAGAGGAGCGGGTCCGGCTCCAGCCTGGGGGCCGGAGGCCATTACCCCCGACTGGGAAAACCGGGAAGTCTCCACAGGGGTGAGGAAGGACTCGGGGTTCAGGAGATGTGCGCACGTCTGAATGCGATGGGAGGACAGGCCTGGGAGCGTTGGGAGGCCTGGGGGGCGGGGGCGGGAGGCGGTCTGGGATGTGCTGGAGGCCGAGGGAGAGGTGTCCCGAGGGTGCGTGGTGGTAGGACGGGAAGGCCGGCGGAAGTGTGGAGTTCTGGAAACGTGCGCGACACAGGCTAAAGCTGGGATGAGCCTATGGGGATTTGAAGGTTGGAATTGTGATATTTTGCGGGTCGTTGAGGCCCCTCTGAGACTTGACAGTGGGTCCCTCGTACTCTAGGGGCTGGTAGGGGGATCATTGCTTGTGCTGGAGGATGCGAACAGGCCCACACTCACCCCTTTCTCTTCTTTCCCAGACCACTATCATGGCCGTTCAGTTTGACGGGGGCGTGGTTCTGGGCGCCGATTCCCGAACAACCACGGGGTGAGCTCACGACGGACGTGGGAAAGGTCTTCCTGTCTTTCTCTTCCTTCCATGCCTGCCAGCCCATCCTTACCCTCCGCACTCAGCTGCGGGAGCGGGAGGTTTCTCCCCTCCCTGGAGATAAGGATTTGTTCCAGCTTCTGCAACTCACCCGTAGGTGAAATTCTTGCAGAAGCCTGTCCTCCAGACTGCTTCAGTTTGGATGAGAACAGGAAGTAGAAGACGCCCTATTCCTGAGGCCAGAGGGAGTAGATAATAATGGGATGGAGGTGGGAGACAAGTGGGGTCCTTTCCCTCACTATCCTGTCATTCTGCAGGTCCTACATCGCCAACCGGGTGACTGACAAGCTAACCCCTATTCACGATCGTATCTTCTGCTGCCGCTCAGGCTCTGCAGCCGATACCCAGGCTGTAGCTGATGCTGTTACCTATCAGCTTGGTTTCCACAGGTGCTTGTGGGCTGGGAAGAAACAAGTATGTGAAGGGAGCTGGGATGGTCTGACTTCTAGGTCCTGATGATGCCTTCCCTGTGACTCCCCTCGTCTTCTAGCATTGAGCTGAACGAGCCGCCTCTGGTCCACACTGCAGCCAGCCTCTTTAAGGAAATGTGTTACCGATACCGCGAAGACCTGATGGCAGGAATCATCGTCGCAGGCTGGGACTCCCAAGAAGGAGGGCAGGTCAGATACTCCCCACCCCTGGAGTCTTGGGGCCATGCCTTTGATCTTCTCCCCACCCCAGGTATTTTCTGTTTGCAGCCTCTACCTCACTATTAACTCTTCCCAGATCAATCCCACAATGGACAGGTGAATGTACATGTGTTGTGAGGAGGGTACAACTGATGACTCTTTTCCTCCCTCCACCTGGCAGGTGTACTCGGTGCCCATGGGGGGGATGATGGTAAGACAGTCCTTTGCCATTGGAGGCTCCGGAAGCTCCTATATTTATGGCTATGTTGATGCTACCTACCGGGAAGGTATGACCAAGGAAGAGTGTCTACAATTCACTGCTAACGGTGAGAACGGGTTTCTGGGCCTATGAGCTTCAACCCCCATACCCACGCCAGTCCAATTTTCATCATTCCTTGTAGTGATGCCAGCAGCCAACTCTGACCCCCAACTTTTTTTTATCCACAGCTCTCGCTTTGGCCATGGAGAGGGATGGCTCCAGTGGAGGGGTGATCCGTCTGGCATCCATATCAGAATCAGGGGTAGAGCGGCAGGTACTCTTGGGAGACCAGATTCCCAAATTCTCCATTGCCACTTTACCGCCTCCCTGAACCCTGGGATTCTAGGGTACAGTAAGAGACATCCCATACTGACCCAAAATTCAATAAAGTTTTTCAAAGAGTCGGTGTGCTTTGGGGTTCTTTTTTTTTTTTTTTTTTTTTTTTTTTTTTTACTTCAAGCCTGAACTTGTCTGGACCACTACAGTTTGTACAGGCCACTGCTCTGAGCTCTGGGGGCATTGGAGAGGAGCCTTTACAGGGGTGGTTTTCAAACTCTTCAGGCCACCTTCCCCCACATTTCCTTTCCTCTACTAAATCCAGCTCCTTGTGACACCAGACTGTAGTTTATGCGGAACCACCAACAAATGATCCTATCCCCACCTCTGTTCAAGCCCGAGGTAGAACTCAGTATTCTGACTGAGACTAAGGTCTCCTCCCGTTAGCCTGCCTCCTGCCTGTCATCATGGGAGGCTACTGGCTCTAAGGCCAGAAGGACTCCAGATCTCTTCTGACTCAGGCTCATGGTCTCCTCTCTCCAAACTCACCTCTGTCACCTCATCTTGTCAGGAGCAGCAGTGTGACTTCCTTGGCTTTTGGGAGAAAGGTGTTTGCAATTGGAGCTTCAGATGGACATTGGGTGGGAGAGGGCAGCCACAGAGAGTGCGGTGGACCAGTTCTGGAAGCCACCGTTCCCATGGGGAGTGTAGTGATATGTCGGCCTTCAGCCCCTTAGATGGGAGACAGAGAGTGGATTCTGGCCCCTCCGTGGCTGTCTCCACTCAAGCCAGGGCCCTAAGTGAGCAAAGTGGTGTTCATTGACAGTGACCAACATTCTTAATCCTGTCCCAGTCTTCTTTTCTCCCCATTATGGGCCAGGGAACTGAATAAGCTACATTTGAAAACTTTGTTCTAGAATATAATCCTGCCCTGTAGAGGGATAGTATCTGATTAAGTGAAAAAGAGCAGAAAAGGATCTCTGTCCTCAAACGTGTACTTCAAACTTAAAATAACCAATAGAGAACTTCTGATTTTCCTGCCAAACCTGTTCTGGTCCTCCCTGCCTTAGGGCATCTTTGATTCCTTTCTTCCCTGTGTACTCCACATTCAGTCTAACAGTAAGTCCTAAAACTCTCCAAAAGTACCTGTAGAATCTGTCTGCCTCTCACTGCGCTGCCGTGGGCCAAGCCATCTTCATCTCTTGCCTGGAGGATGGCAACACCCTCCCCTACATGGCCTTACTGCTTCCATACTTGATCTTCTCCAATCTTTTTCCAGGTACAGCAACTAAAGTAATCTTTCATTGTAAGTGAAATCATGTTGTTTCCCTGCTCACAATTCTTCAGTGGCTTACCATTCCATCTAGAATGCTATTTTAACCCCTTACCGTGGCCTAGAAGACTCAGCAGTTTCCCTCAATCTTGCCACTCCAGTCACTGGCTTTTTTCCCTAGAACCTAAGAGGTTTTGCACTTAAGTTACTGGTGTTTTGTTTTGTTTTTTTGCCTAAGACTACTCTGCTGATTTTTTAAAAAATTATTTTTTAGAGCAGTTTTAGGTCCATAACAAAATTGACTGGAAGATACAGAGATTTCCCATAACCTTCCTGCCCCCCACATATGCATAGCATCTCCCACTATCAGCATCCTGCACTGAGTGGTGCACTTTTTACAGTTGATGAGCCTACATTGACACATCATTCAGGTCTCAGCTCTGAATGGCACCTTATCAGAAAGGCCTTCCCTAACCACCTGAAATTTAAGAAACAGCCCCCCACCACCACCTCTTCCATATTACCCTGTTTAATTTTCTTCATAGCAGCAGTTATTGCTATCTCATATTATCTTGTTTACTTACTGTCTACCTCCTCTATTAGGAAGTAAGGTCAGGGAGAAGAGAGAATTCTTTCTGCTTGTTCACTGATACATCCTCAGTGCCTAGAAGAGAGTGGACAGTGAATGAACATGACAGCCCTGTCTGCTGTCCTGCCTAGCCCCCAACCTCTGCAAACTGCTCTCACCACACTCAACTCTGCAGTTTGATTTCAGCAAACTTCCAGCTAGCCACAGCGGGCTCTTCATTAGATCAGCTACACCATATTGACCACTCCTATGTTCCCCACTCCCACCCAATTCTGCACTTCCCACCTCAGCCCCCTAACCAAGTCCACTCCCCATCTACTCTTCACCCCGACATACATGCACATACACAGAACATTTGGCAACTCTGAATATATTTAATGAGAAGATCATGAGGGACTTGGGGGAGCCAGAAACGAATCACTGAGAAGCGGGGGAAGGAAGGTTGCCAAGGCTTCCTAGAAGTTCAGCCCCTGGTTGTCCCCTTCAAATGGTAGAGTCATTGGCTGATGCTATGTCATGCAGCTGGTGGCGGAAGGAGAGCCGGGCTTTCCTGCTGAAGTAGGCACTAGACCCTAGGGAGGGCATCCCTCCCTCAGGCATGATGGGGGCTGTCACTGGGCTGGGATCTGGATCTGGAGGGGCAGCTGGGTCCAGACCTAAAAGGGAGATTGAAAGAAGAAGGGAATTGTGAGTCTGGATCCCTTTTACCCCCACACCACCACCCTCAGTGAGGAGGAAAAAGGCCAGGGAAGACATCTGAGGGTCCTGGGTGAATGTTGGTGGCATCAGCAGGGAGAGGGAGAAGAGTCCTTGAGAGAGCTGGCCTGTGCAGTTGCAAAGGACCCTACACTCAGAAGGACCCCATGCTGGGTGTACTGCTCTACTCTCATCTTGAAATTCTTAATCATTTTTTTTTAAATATATTTTATTGATTTTTTTACAGAGAGGAAGGGAGAGGGATAGAGAGTTAGAAACATCGATGGGAGAGAAACATTGATCAGCTGCCGCTTGCACACCTCCGACTGGGGATGTGCCCGCAACCAAGGTACATGCCCTTGACCAGAATCGAACCTGGGACGTTTCAGTCCTCAGGCCGATGCTCTATCCACTGAGCCAAACCAGTTAGGGCTCTTAATCATTTTTTAATATAGGGTCCCACTTCTGCATTTTGCATTGGGCCCTGCAAAGTATTTAGCCAGCTCTGTGGGGAAGTCATAGACCCACCTCCCATCCAGGGAAACAGACTATCCTTTCCCTTCACTGGGTTAAGCATTTACCTTTCTCCCAGTGCAGTTTATAGCTTCCTGATGCCCCCTCCTTTTCCCCCATACCTGCTCCTCTTTCAGTCCCCCGCTGTCTCCGGCACACACACCATGGGAAACACCATGCCCCCTTGAGACCCATCTCAACAGTGGAGGAGACCAGGGTGTTGGGAATGGCCAGGAGGGCCCCAGGAGAAGGGGTGTGGTTTCCAAGCCCCACTGTGGGCAAAACTACCACTTAGCCTCAGACCGCCTGGTGATTAGAGGCGCCAGGAGATGGAAGGGGGAGAAGAGGGTGGAGGGAAGGGGTGGAGGGATACCCCACTCAAACACCTGTCCTTTTGTGCCCTCTTAATTTGGGGGCTCTCTTGAAGCTTGTGGAGAAGCAGGAGACTGAGACGGATGGCATGGCAGAGACACACATAGGGGCTGGGACATACAGGTGCAGTGAAAATTCACTACAGCAATGCTGGACATCTTGGTGCCAGCCGGTACACTGCTGGGGACTCATTTGTATTTTCAAGTGAGAATTCCCAAGATGTAAAGTTTTAAAGAATAGTCCTTTTTTTTAATTTCTATTTTATTTTATTTAGAACAGGAACCTTTACCAGTCAGGGAAATATTATGTTCTCATTAAATGATACAGTAGCTGTTGTCCCCTTTTATGAAGATAATGAGTTGTAATTGATTAATTATGCTGTGCCAGGTAGATTCTACGGACTTGCACATGTTATCTTTATCATGTCTGTGTTCCTTTGAGGCAAGTGTTATTACTATCTGATTTTAGAGGCGAGGAATCAGAGGCACTGAGAGACTCGGTAACTTGCCCAAGGCACACGGCTGTTCTCAGCAGGGCAGGAACTCACCCCCACTCCCGTCAGTCTGACTCCAGAGTCCACTTTGCTTGCCACCACACTGAGCTTCCCAAGCATGTCCCTGGCAGGCTCTGAGGCCCTCAGCCAGGCAGGGAAGGTGCCCAGAGCCTGGGCTGGGAGCCGCAGGTCCACCCTAGACAAGGACTCTAAATGCCCTTTAGTAAAGCTGCACTAGAGTATTCCCTTATGAGGTGGGTGAGAAGGGTTGGGAAGCACTGCTGACTATATTGCCTGACTGAGACAGAAACCTGTTTTCTGTTTTTAAATTAATTTTATTTACTGAAGTAAAAATTTACACATAATTTAATATACACATCCTAGTGTACAGTTCTATGGGTTTTGACAAGTATATACACCCATGTAATCACCACCCCAATCAAGATGCAGGACATTGCATCACAGAGTTCCCTTACATGTCCTTTCAGTCGATCTTTTCCCCACCCCCTGCCACAGGCAATTACTGATCTGATTTCCACCACTGTAGATTGGTTTTGCCTGTTTCAGAACTTTCTATAAATGGCAGCATATAGTATTACTCTTTTGTGTCTGACTTCTTTCAGCATCATGGTTTTGAAATTCGCTCATGTTGCATGCATTAACAGTTTGGTTTGTTGTGTTTTTTTTTGGTATCAACGGCTTTATTAAGAGAGAATTCACACATCATAGAATTCACCCTTTTTAACCTTCTGTCCAGCATTTAGCAAGGCTGCAGTGGTAGCAGCTTCTCTTTGAGCTTCCCTGTGCTGCCAAAGAGGACAAGATGAAGAAAAATGCCAGAAAGTTGGCCAAGAAAGACAAAGACCCAGTGAACAAATCTGGGGGCGAGGCCAAAAAGAAGTGACCCAAAGCGAAAGTTGGGGACAAGCTCAATAGCCCAGCTTCATTTGACAAAGCAACCTATGACAAACTCTGTAAGGAAGTTTCCAACTATAAGCTTATAACCTTGACTCTTGTCAGGACAGCCCTAGGAGCTCCTTAGTAAGGACTTATTAAATTAGTTTCAAAGCACAGAGCTCAAGTCATGTACCAGAAACACCGAGGGTGGGGACGCCCCAGATGCTGGCGAAGATGCATGAACAACAGGTCCCACCAGCTGTACATTTTGAAAAATAAAACTTTATTAAATAAA